CATGTAGTTTCTGTGATGGATTAAATTTCACTTATTGAGTGTAAAAATTTGGCATAATTAAAAAAAAAATATGCAATGTATAATGCATGCAGTATGAAATGCACATTGACAGTTTCTGTAAGCCCACATAATGTATTGGGATGTCTCTGATAATTTTCAAGTATGATCGACAACCCTGACCATAAACCTCTAAGCTTGAGAATCACTGTATCTTAAAATGACTTCATTCACTTTACATAAGAGGTTACGAGGTGGCTGAAGCATTGTGGTGCCTGAGCTGCCAGTTTGAATGTTATGATCTTTTAAGGCTCTGAATGTGGACTCTGCTATTAATATCATCAAACGCTACGACTGCTGTATCCTCCCTCTATCAGAGCCCCACACTTTAATACCAATACACTCTTACTTTGAAGCCATTCTGGTGGTGGATAACAGGATGTGTTACGGTGAATAACCAGAGCGAATATGAACATTTGTTATTCTTGTCTAATTTATACAGATTGCAAACAAATAACACATATGTTGAATATATATACATTGAGCATAGGCTACAGCATGGAAAGGAATACAGAGAGATTCAGTGGTATAATAACACAATGAGCAGCCAGCAGCACAACACCTGCAAGCCTGCAGAAGCCATTAGTGCCAAAAAGTTATTGCCTGAACTCACGCTATGTTTCATTTTCCATAAATTACAGGACTCCTTGAAAAACTGCAACACCCCTACACTTTTTTGTGCATGCTGTGTTGCCTTTGTTTTTTGCAATCTCTCTTCGTGCACTTAAATTCACAAGTGGTGACACACTCTTTTCTAACCAAATGTTTGGTCAGACCTCCACTTCCATCCAACACGCCAAGAAAGATATCCCTCACTGTCAGTCGCAAAGCAAAGAGAAAAAGACAGCTGCAGACTGTTGCCAACATAAATGTCCTCGTCGTGTCTCCATTAGCTAACACACGCACACACACACACGCACACACACGCACACACGTTGCCACTGGTCACTTTTGGGGACGTGTTACCATAACTATAACCACTACTTGCATCACCCTAACCCTTCTGCTAACCTTAACCCAACCTGTGCCTTTACACTGACCCAAAAATCATCTTTTTGCCTTTTTTAGCCATTTAAACTTTTGGGATCGGGGCCTGCAAATATAGTAAAACAAGGCCACATACACACACACACACACACACACACACACACTGCAGCTCACTGGTATGTACACACCATCTAAAAGGGGCATAACTCTCCAGCTGTAGAAATGATGTTGCTTACTTTGGAGAGTATATGAAAGGTTATTTGGCTCTGTCTCAACCTTCCTGTCTGCTCTGCTTATGCAGCACTGGTAGATTGCAGATCCCAAAACTGTAGATTTATATCTTGGGGTTTTCTGTTTTAAAGAGTTGTAATTTTGTGATTTCAAGAAACTGTCAGGAACCATGTTGTGCCCTTTGATCTGCCATACATATTTTTATTCAACTTCCACTTTTGTTATTTTTCTCTTTCCATAAACCTTCTTTCATTTGCTCCAACCTGTTTTCCTTTTCCATCTTGACATACTCCTTTTTTTTGTCTCCATCTTATCCCTCAAAATCCCTGTCTACCACTGACAGATGAGTGTGGTCAGAGGTCATGTGGTTGTAATTAGGGGAGCGCTGCCTCGGAGCTTGGCCCTGCTTCCTGTTTCTAATCTATGAGACAACAGGCCTCAATTCAGTCAGCCCTGAAAACAGCTGTTAGCCTCAAGGTTCGGCCTCCACTCTCCCCAACCTAAATAAAACAGTCTTTAACCTGTCTTTGTAGTCTCATAACATCTATCATAACATCCCCCCACCACACCAGCTCCACCCTTCAATTTCCCTTCTGCTTCATCAGTTACATAACTGCAGAGAAGCAGGAATGCAGAAGGCCTCACAGTGCAATTGATATTTCAATCACTAAAACCGTCTAGATCTGCTGAATTGTAAATCTTTTAATTATTTTTTACAGAGAAATGGTATTAGTCTGTTAGTTTTGGATCACTGGAAAAGGACAGAGGTTATGCTGCCATTTTCCCCTTTATCACTATATTCAACATCTACTGGTCTGTTTTCAACTTGCGCCTACTTTGGTTTACAGGTGGCTCTAGTTACCCGGGTTTAGTCTAGGAAATCCTCCAGCCTGCAGCCTCTCAGCCCTTTTTCCAGTAGGTCTCTCAGTAAAAAGAGCACTGCGCTTCAGTCCTGTGTTAGCAATGCGAGAACAACCTTGAGGAAGACAGAAGCAGAAGTTAATTAATAGATCCGATGTCAACGTTTTGTGTTACAAACAACTGCAAAATGGATGAGAAATGTATTGCATCATTCGAACATCAGCTCATTCGAACATATCACACCGTTTCTTTGTTTCCACTGATGATACCCACTTAGCCACTCAGGAGCTACAGTATGTTAGCTTGTCAAAACAGTGTCATACAGAGCAGTTATATGAGGTCATGTGTTTAAATGCTAATGCTAATACGGCTGCACAGACGCAGCTGCAGCCTGTAGCGTTGCCTACAACCTGTCAAACACAAAGATCCATCATCAGAATTGCTTGCAGGTGAGAGTGGCAATAAGCGACAGAAGAGACCACCTATGTGTTCTATAATGTTTGTTTTTCTTGTGACATACTGTGTTCGGATTAGACTTTCTCTCCCTTGTTCCCTGTGCTTGTCTGTTCCTGGTTTTGTCCGTCTCCCTGCCTGTGTGTATATGTCTGTCTCTGCTGGTTGTGGTTTCCTGGTCCCGGCTCCTGCCTGCTCACCTGAGCACTTGTGCCTCATCAGCCAACCCACTCTTCAACCTGCTGCAGTATTTAAACACCGGTTCTAGCCTTTGGTCTTATGTTGCCAGATGGTTCAGTCTCCCTTGAGGTACAGACGCTACGGCGACCTCTCAAGTCTGGTTTCCTAGTATTGCTTTCTGTTTGGTTACCCTTGGTTTCCTTTCCAGATTTTTCGCTCCCACCCTCACCCAACCAAGATGCCCTCACCACTTTCCACTTGGGCCCTCAGTGCGCTTCCCTCTTCCACTCCTTCAGCCTACCAGCCATCTTCTCCACGCAAGCCTCAGTCTGGACCCCAGCCCCTCATCCCCCCCCCCCCCCCCCCCCCAATTACCTTGCAGCTGTTAACCTGCCTCCTGGTCTGCGTTCTGCCTTTTGGATCTGAAATACATGAATCTAATCTAGAGTCAAGTCTCAAGTTTTTGCAAGTGATTTGTCAGTCATAAAGCAGGTTTGTCCAGCCCAGTAGTTTAATGTGAGAAGGGAAGGTTTAAGTAATGGCTCACACACCATGACACTTTACGTGCTGTTATATTTAATAGTACATAAAGCCTGGGGTTTTAATCTTCATACACCACTGCTTCATCTGCCCTGCACACCAGTAAAAATCCTCCAGAAAGTGATACGACGGAGTCTATGATCTGTGTCTTTTTATTCCCGTGTCTCGGATAAGTCCCGTTGTCTTTTCTCTGATTTAATATTTAAAAAATGGAAACTTTGATGTGTCCACTTCAGCCGCTCCTCAGTATTTCTTATTTATCTGCGTAACAAATGCTCTAATGATTAGGCAGCATGATGCATGAGGAATGAAACTTACAAATGATGCACTTGTGAAAAAATAAACAAAACTGGAAGTGTAATCAAATCAATCAATATATAAACTGAATGTAATAATTCCCAAAAGGGAAGATAATTCACTGGTTGAATGGTGTCCATAAAATTTTGAGAATAAAACAAGTCAAAAATCAGAAAAGCCGACACCACGAGCCCTGCAGTTTTTTCTGGTTGTACATGATGCTTATAAGTGACTCATACTTGTTAAAATTGAATCGAAACTGCAGCTCTCAGCTCTTATGCGACTCCTTTTGGCTGAATCTGTCCTTGTAAAAGTAAATTATACAAAACTTACAAATATCGCCAGTGTTAACACTCGGCAGGGGTAGTTAGAAGTTTTACGATTTTACACCACTTGATTGTTTATTGTTTAATAGGACTGAGTGAAACAGCCTCAACTGGCCGGTTGTGTTCAACAGTCTTGTAAAAGTTGAGTTAATTGGGCCGATTGCTGCGACCGACTGTGAGGGTATTTAGCTGAAGTGCTGTGTGCAGGTATTTTTACTGGGCAACAAGGTGAGCGCAAATATAGGTTCTTTAAAATCACACGTCCAGTGAGTAATTATTATCATGTTCGATTTTAATTGATGTATTCCTCCTACCTGGCCTTAATGAAGCCTTGCTGTTGTTTTGCACCATTTTTCGACTCCACTGTCGCAATTCATGGTTCTTAATGGGGTTTTTTTTTTTTTTTCTTTTTTAATCACTTGCGGATTCACATTATTTTATTTCATGTTCCCTTTTTTTTTATTAAATCAGTGTGTAAATATTCTGTTCAATGACAAAACTAAGTCAGACAAACCTAAAGTAGGCCAAATGAAACGTTAAAGTGAACTAAATCAACCAGTGCTCATTTTAACTACCTCCTGTGCATGTTGGATCAGCCTCCACTAGTCTGGGCTGCCGATCCAGGAAACTGTTCTGATGTCCTGCTTTGTTTCCCAATAGAGCTTTTCAGATCTCCACTCGGGGCTTAAAGTATTTATAACACTGCAGCCTGCTTTTCCTCTAGCAAAGCCTCCCTGAGGACAGCATTACAGCTAATGGGAGGGATATGGCCAAACAGATGGAGCTGGCAAGCTGCAGAGACCCATCCACTGTCTCTGAAAGTTTCAGATGAGTTTTTTTCCTTAGTATTTTTTTTTTGGTTTATTTTTGGCCAGTTTTGGGGGTTAAATTCAAAAACCATTCCCCTCGTAGGATTGAGTGGATTAATTGTGAGCCAAGTCTTAAGTGGGATCCTGTTTAATGTAAAAAATGAAAAGGGTAAGGAAAGCTCTGTAGAAATGTGATGATGTGCTTTGTGCTTAAAATAAAGTGACATGTTAATGGAAGATACAGGCGCCTGACTTCATGTGGAATTATGAAAACTTTTAATTTCTTTATAATCAAGTGTCTTTTTGCTGTTCACTGATACAGAACAAAGAGAGACTTGGTTAGTGAAGGAGGAAATATTGTTTACAAATAAAAACATACAAAGTCCAGCCCCAACAGCACAACTGGTAGCACAGATATGAGCTATTATACAGATATTTACATAAACTGCTCTGCAGTAAGAAGACATGATATTTAATCATTAAAAATCCTAATGCATTCCTGCATTTGATAATAAAGCACCTTTGTATATTATTATTATTTTGATATGTTGGGATATGTTCTTGTTTAAAGGGTCAGTTCAGAAATAAAAAAATTCTAATATTTATTTTTCCACTTAGCCCTAGCGATGCAGATAATTAGTTTTATTTAAAGTGATTTTTAGAGCTTCCATTCTGGACAGTTTTAAAATAGCCTCAATGTAAAATTATAACAGTGATAATCCTGATTAACCACATCACTGTTTCTGGAAAGAGACATTGCTGATGAGCAATCTACATGTCATTTTAAAAAGCTTTGAGAGCCACAAACAAAATTCCACCTGTCTCTAAATTAAGTCCTTTAGTTTTATAGATTAGGGTTTTGTAGGAAGAGATTCAAGGGTCAGGACTGTCGACACACTGTAATTATCCACTGTGACACATCTGTGAGACGGCACAAGAGAGAGATGTTGAGGTGTGCCATGTCCAGATGATATGGAATGAACTCTTTGCTTTATCTTTTTGCTCAGTGAGACCGTTCTGATCTCTGCCATCCAGTTACCCTTAAAATGAAAGATGAACAGTCTACAGTACATCGAGAGAAGAGAGGGTGGGCCAGAGCCAGAAGACGCCTCTCACCACTGATCCTTCCAGAGGAGGTTTAATAGGTGAGACCCTAACCCTCCACCCCACAAAATGTCCAAAATGTTGGTCTGGATGCGAAACACACCCCTGGAAAACCTACTCAAATCATGTATGAACTCAGTTTCAGAGCACAGTCTCAGTGGTTTCACATGGACCAGAAGATAATTAGACCCCAACTAAAATATGGTCACCAACACCGGCAGAAGCACGGTGTGCTATCAATTAAAAAGTAACCGTGGTCAAAAAGAGCAACAATCTATTAATAATATCATAGAAACTAATTGCAAAAAAATAATTAGTTTCAAATGCTAATTTATACAAATAATTGAAAGTCCTATTTCACAACGTGGCATTAAAATGTGACCCTTTCACATGCAATTAGACTGAGTATAATTCAGACCGGGTCATGGACTCTACCAGCCTCTTGTTGCGGGCCTGTCGGTAGACAGCGCTTTCAAATTTCCTGCAGCAGTTTAATGTATTATGATGTAACATCATTACATCAGGTTGAAGGAGCTCTTAACTTCAGCAAATACAATCTGAACTATCTGCATGGTTACACACCATCAGGGTAAGTGGCAAAATGTGTTTGTTTTGTTTTGTTTTTTTGTTGCGTAGAGTGAACTGACCCTTTAAAGTGTTCTTCTGAAAGGCAAGAAGTGAAAGGTATGACAGCACTCTGCCCGTGTTAAGAAGCATCATGGCACAAATATATAAATGATTGCACAGATTTATGATTCCTGATAAGTGATAAAACTTTTTACACAAAGTCCCTGAAAGGAGAAACCCAAGAGGAAAAACTAGCACAGCACAGAAAGAAGAAGAAAAAAAAGTCTGGCTTTGTACAAAAGTGTATTTCTAGTGCAAAGGAAGTAATTCAACATTCTTTCCTAATTGTGTGCTGTGATACCTTTTCCCCTTTTTTTTATTGTTCCTTTTGATTCTAATATTTTTGGCAGGTCCACATTTAAGAGGGCACAGTATGTTCCTCTCCAGGCTGAGAGGAATATTTCAAAAGCACCAAAACTTGTAAATGTCTTCTAGTTAGTTCTTCTTCCTCGGCACAAAGCAGTATCCACGGCAATAAAAAAAAAAAAAAGAAAAAAAAAAAAAGAAAAATATTTGACCCAGAGATTCTGCCAATCCTCCCATTATTCCCTCTGTCCTGTTCTCACTGGATGCTTGGTGCCACCAGGTATCCATTGAAGGTGATGTAAACATCCACGTCGTCACTGTAAACGGCGTTCTCCCTCTCCCTCTTGTAGAGCCGGACCCACACCTCGTCGTTCAGAGCCAGATCCAGCATGACGCTCTGACTCTGCATGATGGACCTCTCGCTGGGCTGAGCGTACAGGATCACCTGCTCGTTGTCGTTGTGCATCAGGTGGAGGTAGGTCTCCTTGAAGTTCCAGGTGTGGATGTTGATGTTGAAGAAATAGATCCCCGGCACGTAGCAGTAGAACTTGCCCTTGAACATGTTGAAGTGCTCGTGGAGGTTGACGAACACCGTGTCGAACACCAGTGCCTGGTAGTAGTCCACGCTGTGCAGGGACTTTCGACGTCCCACCGAGAAGGAAGAGTGAGGGATCTTGCAGGCGTCCCCGGGAGCACCCGCCTGGCCTTTGCTGCCTTTAGGGCCCAGGGGTCCTCGGTAGCCGGAAGGGCCCTCCAGACCAGGTTTTCCAGGTGTGCCTTTGTCACCTTTGTCTCCTTTATCACCTGGGGGGGGGGGGCAAGAAGAAACACAGGTGAGCAGTGCAGACAGAAACATCAGGAGCTTAATCTCGACTTCTTTCATTTTCACTCTGAGTGTTTATGTGAAATAGAAAGATTTTAGCTCTTCATATGTTTTTTTTCCTTGGGAAAACATTAGATGCAGCTCATTGAGATAAGACAGCTATCTTTGAAATGGAAATTAGTCCTCATTGTACCCCCGCTGTACCGAAGAAGAACATGAACAATATCCCAGAATTAGAGAGGTCGTCTTATCACTGAGTAAAGTGCAGCTCTTAGAGAGAAAACAACAAATCCAAGACTTGATCTGAGCGCTTGCTCCACAACAGACCGTCCATTTAGTCATGCAAACAATGCCAATTAAGCTTTTATTCATCTTGTTCTTGTGTTCATAATGGCTACAAATCCGCAAATGGCAACAAAACTTTCAAATCAAAACATTTGGAACCCTGTTTATAAATCTGAAGCAATTTTGTTAAATTCTTCTTTGACTATAACACAAGAAATGTGTGAGGATGGAAACATGTAAACTGTGGTCAGAATATAAACGATTTACGAGCCACACTTTGAACTTCATTAAAGTAAACCCTGACCTTTATTTACCTCTAATGAAGACCAGTTGGAACTGCAATAAAGTTGATATGATTTATCTCTGCCTACACGCATTGCTTACAGGGAGAATATTTTAATGCTGACACATGTTCAAAAAACTAAACCAGTGGTTAAAACGTGAAGAAAGAAAGTGAAGGAAAGAAAGAAATCAACACCTGGCTGACAAAAAGAAAACAGATGTTTAAATGCAGCTTCTATTAAGAGGCAATTCAACAACACATATGTTCACCTTATACAAGAGATGTAGCGGTTTAGTTTAAAAGTCGAGGCGTCGACTCTGTAAGAGACAAACTAGCCGGTTCTACTTGTTAAAATAGAAAATATAATCCAAGTACAACACACTGGAAATATCACTGTCCTGTGAAAACCATCTCTAAATTTGGTGATTTTGAATTCACAAAGCTAAAACCAGACCTTTCCTTAGATCATAAAACGGTGTTTTGGAGTCACATGGCAGCAACACATTTGTACAACAGATGCTGATCTTGGGCCTGTGAGCCATCTCATCACACGTGTAGCTACAGACCAGAGCTGATGTGTGTCTCCTCATAAGGTGACCACACGTCAGGGCTACAGTGGCAAAGGTGGGACCACATGGGGACTGCAAGTACGTGACCGGTCAGGATGGCCTACTTGTGCTTTCCTCTACAAGTTTCCGACGCTGGTGGAAATTGTTGCGAGGCAAGACAAGATTACAGAAGTTGAAGAAAGGCTCCGTTACATTCACACATCAAGGAAAGGTACCTGCTCACAGAGAGCCACTCTAAGAGAATAAAAGAATGTAAATATAGCGATTGCACCGACTTGCACCTCACAGGGTAAACACAGTTACTGTTGGGGAAAACTATAATTAATGCACAACACGTGTGATGCATCTGTCCAGGGTTACAGTGGTGCTATCGACAGGACAAATCCAACCTATAGGACTGTCCTCCAGTAAAAAACGAGTCCAAAGGTCGTTTGTGCAGCAGGTTGTTATGAGCCACAGTGACGTGGTATAAGATCGACTAATGTCGAGGAAGCACCGAAACACGATCTTTTCCTAAACCTATCCAAGCCGTGACTGTTATTTTTAACCGTGGCGACAAAGGTAGGAGGTACGCCGCTGTCGGTACAGTCCGCGTGTTTATTATTGTAACCATGACAATCGAGGTCCTGTTGGTATCCTGTTGTACAGCTGGGCTCGATTAGCATAAACTATAAATCAAACTTTACACACATACAAACTAACACAGATGGGTAAAAGGAAAACCAGTATTAAGTGTTAGTGGTTAGTAAAGTGTTGATTTTCCAGCTGCCAGAACAGTTTAATTACTCTTGGACATTGATTCAAACTTCACTGGAGAGACGAACGACATTGTTCCAAAAGATATTCCCCCATTTGGTGCTTCGATAAAGGTGGAGGAGAGCGCTGCCTGACGTGTCGGTCTAAAATCTCCTACAGGTGCTCGACTGTGTTGTGATGTCGTGACTGTGAAGGCCATAGGTGTCACATTCCCATCAGTCACCTGTAACCATCCTTCCTTTAATTCGTCACCTTTCTGTTCACACAAATTAAAAGACCTTGTCCAAACCATTTACTTCATAAAGCCACCTGTGCTAATGTTAAAAATGTTAGCTGGATGTTCTCATGGACCTTATTTGCTCTACTCTTGTTTACAGTATATGTTTGCTTCTCTGTTGTATCCTGTTTTTTTTTGCTTCCTAAACAACAAGACACCGTTTCCCTCAGGATTTTATATTCATATGCGACCTGTCAACAAGCTCGGAAAATGATTAATGAGCTTATGTATATCCTCCTGTCACCGCTGCTGACTGAAATGTCTCTGGTTAAGTGGACATTTGGAGTGTTGCTATTGTTCCCAGTACACAAAAACCTCTTTTGCTCTGAAATCAAGTGACACTGCTTATGGCCCCTTTTAAACTTCATCCTCATATCACCACGGAGCAGCTGTGAATATAAAGGCCTCTGAGCTAAGAAAACACTCCCACGACAATAAACAGAGGCAAATAAACTGAGGAACAGCACAGCCTGTTGAAATTTTTGGATGAAAAGTTGGTGACAGTTTGTGATTTTCACATTCAGTTGAAGGATGACATGCTTCTTTACTGGCTCTGCTACAGAGACCTTTTCAAGTCATCTTGGCAGATTCAAAACTACATGGTTTTCAAGCTTTGAAATGCTGATTTTTAAATACATGTGGGTCTATGAGGCTCTGAAGCTTGGGTGACATAAAGAAAACCTTTGTAAAATCTTGCTGTGCTGCCTCTAGGACGCTGCTTGCAGACATTTAGGCAGGTCATGAGTTAAGCACCTCTGGGCTGGGTAAACCACACAGGAAGAAGCCACAGCACTGCCCTCGCTCACCATGACCAAAACTTCCTGAAGACCGGAGGTAAACACAGCTCATCCTCTCCACACATCCACAAAGATCTGTCTGGCTATGACCAGTGTCCACAAAAAAAAGAAAAGAAGCCCTGAGGAGAATTACAGTAGTTTCCACAAACAGCAGCTTAGCAGCCACCTCTGCACTTGGTCACCATATATGGGACTGATCCTTCATCCTGAAATCAAATAACAACACGGCTACTTGGAACCCTGCATGTCTTTCTTTTTCCTGCTCAGTGTCAACAACAATAAAACTCTAGCATCCACTTCTAGATGCTACATTTCAGCATTTAGATTTCAGAAGTATTGTAAGTTGATTCTCTGGTTCACCCCTTTCCCCTTATCCTGGCTCGTCTGCCTCTAACGGAGCTTCTCCACCCTGGAAAAGTGAAGTTAATGTGTTGTTAACATGCAAAACGGCTTGTCTAGAAAAAATCTACTGTATGTTCCTGTACCATTTAAATTCTTTCCTGATACCAATACAAATACTTAGAATTATTTGGAAATATTCTACACATATCGTCATCATTTGATGGGATACATATTTGTACTGTATCTATACTGAAACATTACAGCTTTTATTTGTGTACAGGCTAACAACTAAATAGCTTGAACTCAGGCAACATCTGCCCAGTTTAAATCCAAAGTATGGGAGTATTTAGGATCTCACTTTTTAAGACACAAAGCTCCATATGACTGAAGCTGTTTGTGAACTGTGTCATGGTGATGTCATCCACTGCAGAAGTGTGACAAGACATCTTATTTGGTTGCACCTAGAATTAAATACTGAAAGAAGAAAAAAGGCGAGTATCTGTGCGCCAGAAGTCTCTGAATATATCTGATCCGATTCAAAAACAATAATAATTCTGTGTATACATATTTTTACTCTTTAACCTTGAACATTACAATGGAAAAAGAGAATGGACCCTGGACAAGAGACTGCATGAACATCGGAAACAGACAACAAGCCAATGTGAACACCAGACCAAGAGTGGATGCAGCGCTGACTGGGAAGCGGTCAAAGTCGTCAGACAGGAGTCAGTGGACGTGGAACGACACCTGAGCCATTCGTTCTAATAAAATGCCAGATGGAGCTGAAAGCTCGCCAAAAAGCTAGTAAGTGTACCTTTATATCAAACTAAGTATATCGGTTCCCAACTGGTGTAGGCTTGCACATCAGCTCATAGTCCACACATGCATCACATTAACACCATTTCAGTTCATTTCCATCCATCAACTCCACGTGTCAGTGGATTTGAACTGAGGACCAACTTGCTGTGAGAACAACAATGCTAACCAATGCTAACCAATGCTAATCAGAAAAAAATCAAAGTACAAATAGCTGGGACTCAAAAAATGAGAAGCATTGCAGCAATTAAGGCTCAAAAACCAACATTTAAACGAACATTAAACGCATTGCAACAGTAGTTACATTACACCGTGTAACAAAGGCTCTGGAAAGACTGCTAAAGTCAACAGGCATGTTGAAATGGGAGACTGTACTTTAGAAATAAAATTGCTCCTCTGGAAAGTCAATACCCACTTTCCCCACAACCCACTCAGAATGGGCCGGCAGCCCACACCAGCTGGGAACCGCTGACATATAACACATACTGACATCTTACCTTCAATGTTGAAAGATGAACACGTTCTGCAAGGTCTAGAACTAAAATGTGATCAGTATTTAAATTTTACAACTGACACTTAGGAAATCTGTATAACTTGAGATCTGAGGGTCCCTACTGATTAACATATCTCGTGACTTCAGGCTTTCAGACTGCAAAGGCAACATCGCAAAAATTTGAGATTTACATTTCGTGTTTTCACCGTAATTAAGCCACCCTGAACGTCCTGAATATTTTAACGCAGTGTAAGACATAATTTAATCCTGTGAATGTTGATGCAGAAATGTGTGGGTGCAGAATCGCCTTTGTCCATGACTGAGGGTTCTTTTGAGAAATTTGGCTGGATGCTCCCCCCAAATTGAGATTGGCTGAGGAACTGATTGTGGGTTACACTGTTTAAATTCGATAACAGCGGCTTTGTGGGGGCAAAGCCAGACACACACATTAGTGCAGACACACACACACACACACACACACACACACACAAAGCACACACACACTGAAAGTAGGCGTTATTATTTTCCAGCGAGTCACTGAAACACACAGAAGAAAAAGGAGTGTTTGTCTCTGGGTATTGTTTGTGCATATTGCATGTGGGCAACTATAATTGTCCATGGCTAAGTGTGTTGCCTTTATGCATGGTTGTGCGCCTGTGTGTGTGTGTGTGTGTGTGTGTGTGTGTGTCTGTGTGTGTTTTCTTCCACATAAGCAGGTTCAGTGCCAGGTGAAAGCGCCTGCCGAGACCTCCCTCGCTGCACAGCTGCAATTCAGTGACATGGTTTTATTGCCTCATTTGAACACAGGAGCAACACTTTGACACAAAACACAGATTCAGGATTTGACAAAAAATGACAGGAAAGGATTTGTTCAAGCCTATTTTTCTAAAGTGAAAACCCTTTTTCCATTAAAGCATCATGTATCCATCCAGAACCTGAACTTAAAATCAATAAATGAAAGAGCTCCAAGAGTGTTTTGTTTCGGTTTGTTTGCGACAAAGACATGATCCCTCTACTGCTTCCCACCAGTGAACAATTGGATCTGAATGTCAAATAACAGCCTTTGTCATCAATCATGAACTTTTTTATACTGCATAGTCCAGGGAGTATGTGGCCCCAGTGGAAAGTACTGCTCCACTCAGAGTTTTTAGAGCACCAACCTGGTCCAAGAAATTAAAATTGGACCTAAGTTCTTACAATGGAAAAGTTCACGAGTTCTTCTGTGGTACAAAAGGGGCTTTAATTGCCCAGAAAGAATGTATGTGCATGTGTGTGTTTGTGTATGTGAGACAAGAGAGTGAGAAAAAGAAGAAAAGGAAGATTTTTCTTTTTTCTTGGTTCAGCAGTTGGACTAGTTTGGGGGTTGATCGCGGGTCAGAACAGACTTGGCGTGTCCAGTTATCAAAGGAGCAGCAGATAAAACAACAAAGTGATGACACATCGTTTGGACTGCTCTGGTGGAGTTGGCAGCTATGTCTCTGATATTAGACACACATGTTCTCACAAATCCCTCTCCAGCTGTGACAGTGTAGCTCTTGGACATTTGAAAAATCTTGTACTTTTAATCTCTCTTGTCATATTTCTCCATTTCTCTCTGTTTCCCTCAGGGTTTAAACACTTGCAAATACAAATAAAGCCACAAACACACAATTAATCACAGACACGCACACATCTTTACAGTTGGCCTTCCTCACTGTCTGACCTATAATAATAAGTCATACAAGCTTTTACAGATTGGGCTGTGACAGGGCTCACTGTAACCATAAGGATTTGAGTCAGTCATGTGCAAGCCCAGGGTTTGCTGTTGATACTTTGCGGGTTATGTAACGACACACAAATTCATTTAAGAGTACACACCTGGTATGCATGATATCACCTGAAATATTTAAGGTGGCAAAACTGGATTTTAACATAGAGCCACAAGTGAAGGTGCGAACTTGATGACCTTTACATTTCAGTTTAAAATGTACTATTGGTACACACACATAACCTGAGACCTTGTGGGCCCCCTGAGGGTCTGCAGCCCTAGGGCAGCTGCTTGTTTTACCAAGCTGGTTATTCAATTCATGCTCCGTTTTATGATTGTGGGTAATTATGTTCAAGTCTTCTACAGCCCGAGTCTAAATGTACCCAGATCCCTGAAGGTATCTATGTTAGATTCATGTCCATTCTGGACCAAATTAAATTTTTTGGATCCATTAAGACCTCTAGTAAAAAGTCAAATAAAGTTAAAAGACAAGCTTGTTTTTCTGACTCCTGTAAATATGGTGTATCTAAGATAAACAGACAACACGATGTGGTGGTGTTTGTAAATATATTTTTCCTAGTAAAATGTCATTTTCCTCACTAAATCAATTTCTTCACTTCATATCTTACATCAAGTCACATGTTGATACACATTTCCTATGACAGACGCTGTCAAAAGCCGTTAAAGTCACTGTTTCTTGGAAGTCTGCTACTTTAAAGTGGTTCCTGTTTGTTTTTCTATCTGTGGCGTGTCTAATGTCTTTTTGGAAATCAGTCTCAATTTGTGTCTCAAATCCACTTAACCGTCACTGCACGGTCACACCTGAGTAGCACTGTTCCATTATAACATACATGATTATGCCTTCTATTAAATAGGAAGCTTGACGGAGACATGGACATCTGGAAAAAGCAGTGATCTGATTGAGGAAGTGCAGCATGAAGCAGACTCATGACGGTAGACCAGTCATGTTTCAATTCATTAGTTCATTGATACCTTTGAGGATGGTCATGTTGATGACAGTGCGGACCTCTGGCATCTGGTATTGGGCTGTGGCTTGTGGCGGCTCCTGGTGGTCGCAGCATCGTCTGCAGAGCCTGACAGGCGGTCTAGAGGGGGAGGGGACACAGCAAACCAGGGGGAGGAGCAAAAGCAGCCTCAAACACACCGCCAACATGGTTGACACAACCTAAGAGTGGAAGGAAAGAGAAAACGGAAAGAGAGTGGAAAAGTTATAGGTTGCTTGCTTTTCTCTCTTCTACAGGGAAACTTCCTACAAACTAAAATCAAAGTAAACACTGAAAAACCATCAAACCAAAACCAACATTTTTGGGTAGATTTTGTTAGGTGGTTTATATTTTTCACATTCCTGTGGACAAGTGTCAAGTTATGCTGATGATGAACAAAATATTTTTGAAGGTTATCTCATCTAAAGAGTCAAAAACACTGACAGTAATCCTCAGGAATTGCTGGAAGGCCTCGACAATCTTTCCAGTCTCACCATTTTACACCAATGTTTAGTCAGGGAAGTTAGTCACACAGGGGAAAATCCACTGTAAAAGTAGCAGAGATGCAAATTTCTCCAGCAACAGCTTGTCTCAATATACCAGATTGCAATGCAGCCAAGACTTGCTGTGGTTTGAGCAAGGGCCACGACCAAAATCATGGATATATTCCAGTGTTCACGGACTATTTATCCAGCTGTCATCATCCTTAATACGCAAAAGTTCTCCACATTTATTCTCTGGCAGTAGATGAAAGTTTTGTGGAAAATGTAGGAAATCACTAATTAGACAAGTCAAGATTAACAGAAAGCAAAAAAAAAAAAAATAGTAGATCACAACACATCAGCCTTCAGAAACTCCGGACATACGGTGAACATCACAGGCTGAACTGTATCTGAGGGAGGTAACTTTCCTTTCACTTTGAAGAAAATGAAAAAAACTGAGGTATTAAGGTCAAATCCAGAGGAGGCACTTCATCCTTGTGACTATGGAGTTCTCATATGGGATCCAGAGGTTTTGGATTTAGAGATACAAGCCCCGGAGAAAAACTATACAGTTGATAAAAAGGAAGGGGCGAGTCACGTGGCCTTCCATACGTACAAACAAACACACACACACACACACACACACACACACACACCTGGACTGAATTGGATTTGAAAACATGAGCAGTGATTTGATTCCTCTCACAGACATAAACATTCACACACATTTCCAAGGACAAAATGTTCTGCTGAACCTGTTGCCCTCGGAGCGCCTCATCTGTGCAACACAAATGCACCAATTTCCCTTGCTCTCTCTGAATTTCATGCCCACATTTTAGAAGTCAGGAATATAAAACTGTCCAAAACTATAAAAGTTGGCACAATATTTTCTCATTTGGCTCAGTCATGTCTCCCCCTCCTTCCTGTCCTCCGTCCCCACTTCAAGCCTCTGAACTCCACACGTGTGAAGAGCAAAATATGGAGAAGACAAAAAGCAAACACAAAAGGCGGATGAGAGAGCAAAGCTAACACAAACATAAAAAAATAAACAAGGGAGAGAAAGATGAGAGAGATAACAGAGAGATTCTCGGGGGGGGGGGGGTTTGCAGTGATGGATGAACGTAAACAGGATCTCAGATGACGAATGGAGTGTGAGTCTGAGAAAATGAAATGACGAGATCTCTGCCTCGATATTTCTATCCCACTACTGATTAAAAAATATTATCATAACAGTTATTATCTGAGAGCGCTTCACTGTCACGGCCAGGCCAATGTCAGAGGATAAATTTCCGCTCACTTCCGCAACATGGTAGAAAAATTGGTTCAGATTTATCATTTCTGTCATTTACTTGATCCGCATACCCCTGATGATTTGCAACGACTGCAGCAAGAGAATGGCTTCAGTCGCCCTCAAAAATAAATACAAAAATACAAACTAAAGCTGAAAAACCATGAGAGCAGGATGGTTGGTGCTGCCTGGAAGTGCTCACAATGGAAGAAGGATTGTCCTAGTTTTGGAGAGCTCTCAACTGTGGATTCACTACAGTGATGCAAAAAAATTGATTTTGGAGGCTAGTACAGATTTCCCCTTGAGTGATTCATCTTTTTAGCAAATCCAACATCACTTGAACGCAGCATACAGGTCTCAAAGCACTACATCGCATCAGCTCCACATCCTGGTGAGTGAAGCTGGACTACTTCCTCTGTCTGCCTGCTGTGGCCGGTGTGTGTGTTGTGCTGAGCGCTGGGATGTAGTATTGAATGGACAGATACAACCTGCACAGACTCACAGATGCAGCCAGTTTTTCAAAGATCGCCATTATCATCCATCATTGCCAGATATCAGCAAAACACGCTCAGCAACTTTGTGTTTAGCTCAAATTAGCATATGTTAGCATGCTAATATGATGAACATTACACCTATTAAATAGGCTATGAGCATATTAGAATTGTCATTGTGAGCATGTTAGCATGCTGAAATTAGCCTTTAGCTCACAGAATTGCTGTGCGCTACAGCCTCAGTTAGCTGCTAGCATGGCTGTACTCTTAGTCTTGTTCACATAGACCACTGTGAAGCCTCACTAAGAAGTTTACTGTTACATAAGTTCATATTTCTATCACCAAACTGACACTGAAGTTCATAAACCTTACATTACATAACATTAAATTATGGACATTAAACAACTGTTTCTCTTGCTGATACGCCAAGAAATATTTGGCACAAAGTTTTTACTCTTAATTTCTAATGCAACATGCTGACACAGTGATTTTTTTGACATCTGTTCAGTGTACATGCTTAGACACAACTTTTGCTGTGCTCTGACATCACACAACGTGCATGTGCAACACGTGATGCATCAACCTGTTGGTTAGTTTGCTTATTTCCCACACTGCCCTGTCCTGCATCAGCAGTAACTGCTCTGCTTTGGAAACGCTTCTTGCTGCATTTAGCTATGTGCATATTGTGCAGAAAAGTAATGATGATGGTAAATAAAGCTACTGGCTTGACATTTGAATACCAATGTAAAAACAAAACAAACAAAAGAAAAGTTTACAGCAGATTTGACAGATTTCATTAGCTAATCTGACATTTTCTCACACACAGGAACTAAATTAATCTATTACATCATGAACTCAATTTACCTCATCACCACCACCCCACCACCCCACCCCCACCACGCCTCCACCATCAGGACACCAATGACCATGTTGACAGCATGATGATTAATGAACTAGTGAACTGGACACACGCTGCTGGATTATTCACCCAACCGCAACACTCACGCAACAGTCATAATGAATTCATTTAGGGAGCCACGTCTACAACAGCCAGAGCATCAGTTTGGCACGCAGCTGCAGGAAACTATAAACTCACAGCTCAAAACGCACACAACACACAACACAACCGCCCGTGCACTGAAAGACACGTGTCAGTGAGCCGGCGCTTGAGAGCGTGCACGTCGATGTTAAGGGGGTAACTTCCAAATAAAAAAATAAAAAAAAGTAAGAATTATTGCTGCTGAGTTGGCAACTTGTGAATAACTTCTTCAATCGTGCACGTCTCTGCGAGCACGCAAACGCACCGCCGGGTGTTTCCTCTTCTTCTCTCCCTCTTTTTTTTTTTTTTTTTTTTTTTTTTCATTTGAAACTTCGCAGGATTGTTTTGCAGAACCGCGAGACGGGTTGTCACATAAAGTCGTGTCAGAGTGTCTGGTCGCTTTTCTTACCTGGTGGAGTTTCACCACTGCGGAGGAGAAACAGCAGACTGCCGGTGTCAGGCGGAGAGGAGGAACAACTAAGGAGAAACCTCACTCACTTACTCTCTCTCTCTCTCTCTCTCTCTCTCTCTGTCCCATACACACTTTCTCCCTCCCTCTCTGTCTTTACACACACACACACACACACACACACAGGAACATCAAAAGTCAGTCTCTCTCCCTCAGCTCCCCCACAGTGTCCACCCCCCCCCTTCTCCTCACTTCTCCTCACTTCTCTTTCTTTTTTCCTCCTGTGATCATCTCCTGTACTTCCCCCTCCCTCCCCCCTCCTCCTCCTTCCCCATCCACCCTCTCCTCAAAACTCCACATCCATCACTCTTACTTAAGAGAGTGCCGACTGCTGCACCTTCATCCCAGAAGTTTTATGACGGAGAGCTGCATACATGTGACACGGAGGAGCTGTCACCACCCAAACACAAATTTAGGTCGACTCTCGCTCTTTTCTCAGCTTGGTCCACATTTTTTTTTTACTTCACAGTGTCCATGACTCAGATTCTGGAAGAGGAACTAACTCCTTTTCCTTTCATTTGTCCAATGCCTTCCAAATCCTGCGTGCCAGAAATAACCACATTATATCACCTTCTCATAAACTCCCACTGTAGTTCTTAAATCACACCGTGGAAGCTGCTTTTATATCTGCTGTCATTCACATAAACCTGCCACATTTTCTCCACTCTGCGTCTCTCTGTTGTAGTGTAAAAGCACAAGAAAAATCTGCTTGTTAAAGTTAATGTTTCACTCAAATATCTTATCTGTAAATTGAAGGAACGATCCACTCTGAAAAAAAAAAAAAAAGGAGTACATGCTCTTCTCCAGACGTTCTCGCAATGAATTCAGCAGCTGGGGCTCTAACATCTGGGTGTCACGGGTGCCCAGAGGACCAGCCTGCCAGTGGGGACATACATGAAATCATGGCTCCATGAACAAGCATTATCATTCTTTGGCAAAGCCTTGTTACTAACTGGTGTGAATTATAAAAACCAGCAGCACAGAGCACTGTCTGCATGCTCATTTTAATTAGTATATAAAGAGTGCAAAGAGAGGGTGTGTAAATTCAGGTTCAGTATGAGAAGAGGAAAAAAAAAACAACAACATCTACTGAAAGGGATCACACAGCTTACAAGCTGCATGTTTGGACAACTTTAGGACTAAAAATAGAAGGGCACAGAGAGGTCTTACTAAAACAGGAAGCGCTAACCACTTTTCTCAATGGACCACAGTGCATCGTAGCATCAAATAATTATCTTTCCCGTCTTTTTCTTATTTCTGTCTCAGCCCAAAACAAGCCCCCAGGAGCAGTCGTGCTGGGCTGCGAGCCTTATTGTATTATCAGAATTTGATGCACGAAGACCAACAAAGTTTCAGAAGTCTCACAGAGGTGTATCATCAAATTTTTGCACGGCATTCGAGTGTGCAGGGAGTCAGCAGGATGTTTGCTCACATCGATAAGTTAAGCTAAGATAAGCTAAGATAAGATAAGATAATGGGACGCCATATTCTAATGTGCTGTTCGTTTCGGGGGTTTTTTTCTATCTATCTGTGACGTAAACCAAAAACCTCAAATATGGAGGTAACAACTTCCTCTGACAATCTGTTGAAAGGCAAACTGGGGAAATGCAGTAGTGAGGTCTGCTGCAGGAATCATCAAAGTAAAAATCTTCCTACCCTAAGGTTTATTATAGTCTAAGATAAACCGAGGGGGATTTCCATTCCTTACATCCATAAGCAGACGTCTGTGATCTTATGTCAGTCTGGAACAAAGTCACTCACTGCTTTTTGGTAGCCTTGGCCTGGAGCCAGCTTGTACTTAGCGCTCTCATTGGTTGAAACCCACACAGAAGGCCGGCTGTGATGGTTAAAAGTGCATCATAAAAATCATTTGTTACCAGCTGCACTTCAGCTGCCTCAGAGAATTCCTGCAGCATGCTTCAGCCTGGATACAACTCCTCCAAGTCCATCCGCCTAATGGACTAAAGGATGTTGTCGTGGGTTGTTTGTGGCAGGAACTAACCACATTTCTGTCGTCTGTCTCTTCTAGCCTAGAAACAGCAGCAAGAGAGCAACAGGTCTATATATTTGTGGTTAAACACAAATTTGCACGTCTGCATATGTTTACACTTCCTCTCCCAAATTTCCCACTTCACCCTGCTTCCACATCCCTCCCTCTCTCCAGTCTAGCTATCCATCACCTGGGCTTTCCTCCTTTCACTCAGGGCTTTGGCTGTGTCCTGGCTGTGTTCTGCTTGTTCTGTTTCCTGTCGGCCTGCTCAGCTCGGTGAGCAGTCAGCCAGCCAGCCAGACGCCACAGAGGTGAAAAGACAAAATAGAGCAAACACTTGAAGAATAACAATGAAATCCCTGTGTGTGGTAGGAGCTTGTATTTCTCTAGTGAGGACAAAATGTCCTCACGGCACTTGAAAGATTAGGAAAAACATCCAAAGAGAGGATATTTGTCTTTGTCTGCTTCTCACTGCTTTTATGGATTAGTGTGGAAGAAGCTGCCCGAGGCCTATAACCATCAAGAGCCCTACAATTTCTGCAAATTACTTTCTATACTGATGCAATGGCCCTCATATTATATATGCTATTATCAACCCTGTAGATATGAGGGCCTGCATTGATGAAATACATTTAAAGTGACACAGTATTATAGGAGTTTTGAGTACTGTGCATTACAAGATTACACACTTAAACTATATCATAGGGTACTAATTGCCATGATTTGCTCTTCTTTTTTGCGAGAGTTTTAGGGTTAGAATTTATTCAAGTGTTTCATCACTTGAAGCTCAGACCAGGTCAATTTCCAGGTCAATAAGGGGCCCGTCATTTGTTAATCAGGTTGTGTTTAAGACTTGGATTGGTGTAAGAGTGGTGTTTAATTTAATGTGTAATGCATGTGCAGATAGAGGTAAAGATGTGTGCATGTTTTGCAGAGCTTCAGTAACTCTACACCTGTCAGTCAAACAGCAGTAGATGAAAACAGATGGTTTATATTAGACACATACACACACAGCCTTGTTTTACTGTAGTTGTGGGGACCTGGCATTGACATACTATATTCTCTAGCCCCTTGCCCTCACCTTAACTGTCACAACTGAACGTCTGACCCTAACACTAACCCTAAAACCAAACAGCCATTTAAACTTGTAGGGTCCAGTCTCCCTGTTTCTGGAACCCATGAATATAGTAAAACATGTCCCCACACAAACACATGAACGAGCACACACATACATGTAATATTGATTGACAGGATCTGTATTTCTCTCTGTGGGGGGTAGACCATGGAGGAGACCACCTATGAACATGGCCTTCAGCGAAACTTAACAACACAATACAACTGACATATGCAATGACTATATTGACTGTGTGTGTGTGTGTGTGTGTGTGTGTGTGTGTGCATGTGTGTTGCTGTGAGTGTGTGTGTGTGTGTGTGTGTGTGTGTTGCTGTGAGTTGGCAAAAAGAGTAGAAGTTGCAATAATTCACTAAAGACTTTGGTCTCTTGTAAAATAAAATGTAAGACGTGTCAAATTTCACACAGCAAATCACTATAACCTCACAAAACAGTTTTGTGCCGAACTGGACACTTGGGTGCAGACAGACATAGGACCTCACACACACACACACACACACACACGCACACACAGATAGATAGAGGAAGTTAAAATCCAATAAATACAGTCCGATACATCAAACACTAAATATAAAGTGCAGACAAAAAGTGAGGGCATGACATTAAAAGTCTGTCCGTCTCAGCCGAGCAGGTTTACAGCGCTTGGAAATGTGATTTTCACACTATTTGTTTTAGTTTGTGGTTGTCTGGGCCTTTGATGTGAAGGGAGTGGCTCGTGTTCTCCTCACAAAGGGTGACCAGGGGAGACACTCTGAGCTCTGGCAGTGGTCTTTCACGTATACACAGTTCCTGATTCATGTTCACATTTATCCACGTTCACACTTTACAACCACATGTCTGCAGCTGCAGGCCACTCAGCAGCTGCACTGGTGCAGTTAGGGCTTACACAGCATTTTATATCACCAGGGTTTGACAGAAAACAACCCGACATCATCGTCATGCTTCAGCCCCACTGGCATGATGGGTACTTGATGAATTTTAATTTTCTATTAATGGAGCATAAGAGTAACTTTTGACTTTTTTATTTTATAGTAATGAAAAAAAAAAGATTAAATATTCATTTGTAACCCCTTAAAAAATGAATACATTTAATTCATTTCTGACACAAACAGGAACATTCAGTTCAGGAATTCAACAGCAACTCAAAAGTCACAAAACTTCAGATGCTTTTTTTCCCCACTGATGATTCAAAATGACAGGAGACTAAAACATCAGAACAACCATAACACAGTGTGCACAGGGTGAATTACTTAAAAGCAGCTCGGTTCCTTTTGAGGGAGGGAAGGCTGCTATCACTCACTCACTCCTGATTTAGCCATCTAACTCTGCAGTCACTAATCTTTACTGCTTTTGGCCTCCATATGGTCAAAGTTAATCCATACTTCCTCCAAGTTTCTGTTCTACTCTTTGGCTCCCAGCTATACTGTGTATGAATGCATATTTATCATTGGCTGCAGGCCCAAGCAGGATCAGGGTCCTGCGTGACTTGGCTGCGGATGTGACGGTCACGTCTCTGTTCATCTGATCAGAGTTTGTTGAACTTATCAGTTCATAGTAAATCAGGAGGCTTTATAGGGAGGGTGGTGGTCTTCATAGTTTTAAGTTGAGGTTTGTCTCTTCCTGTAGGCGCAGAAGTGCACTGTACATACTGACACCACAGTTTCGTCTGGGCAAACAGGGTGAATATATGGAGTCTCATTGATGGAATAGATAGAATAGATATTCACAGTTGTAACCTTTTTGTTGCACCAGCAAGGATGAATTTGAAGCTGCTATAATCAATTTTTTTCCCATATAGTCTAAAGGTATATTTCCATGTCTTTTATGATTATAAAGCAGGTCTAGGTTCTCCTCTTAAACTGTGAAAGTATCAAATTGTCAGTCCA